TACAGCCTTCTCACAGCTGTGAGCGAGATGATAAAACTGGTCGAGTGAACTCGTTTGAGTTATCTATTCTCCGTAAAAATATCAGAGAATGTGTGTTTATAGCGTAGCTTTGGTTTGGTAAATCAATGAAGTATGATATACACGGATGAGTAAATATAGGTTATTTAAACAGAAGTGCAAAATTCTTCCATTGAAAAGTACAGAGGCGGGAACTCGCGAAACATTACATGTGCCTGACTGCATCCACATAGATCGACTAGCCACAGTGTTATAGATATGTTCTTTTTGTCTCCATTATGAATTGTACTTCACTCCAAAGACCATTAGGAGCTTTAGTTTATAATATGTGCAATAAGAGATCTCTTAATATTGATAGGCTATAATCACTAAATGAGTATGCATGTCACCTAAGTTTCCTTTATAAAATATTTATTTAAAATGTATCTAGTCAGAAACTCCTTGGTTTTATGATGCCTCTTTTTAGTGCTTCGAGCTATCAACCTTGGGGAAGATGGTCTCAATTCACTACTGCAGAGGTGTATATTATCTATGGGGTTCTTTTTTATTTATTCACTGCTCATGCAAATCACATTTAGTGCAATATATGTATTTATTATTCAATATGCATCTCACATTTAGTGCAATATATGCATTTATTGTAATATTTGTCTTCAAACATATGCATTATGTATTTCACATTTAGTGCAATATTCATATTAATTGTAATATTTGACCATATGCAATATACTACTTACATTTAGTGCAATATATGTATTTATCATGCAATATGCATCTCGCATTTAGTGCAATACATGTATTTATTGTAATATTTGTCTTCAACCGATGCATTGTGTATTTCACATTTAGTGCAATGTTCATATTTATTGTAATATTTGACCATAGTGCAACATGCTACTTACATTAAGTGCAATATATGAATTTATTGTAATAACAGTCTTCGACCATATGCATGATACAATTCACATTTAGTGCGATATTTGTATTTATTGTAATTTTTGACCATATGCAACATGCTATTCTCATTTAGTGCAATATATGTATTTATTATGCAATATCGATATCACATTAGGTGCAATATATGTATTTAATAATGATTGACAATATCATTCCATGAACTGCTTATTTATTTATGCCAAACTGATTAATCAGACTGAATTTATATCATTGTTTATTAATCATGTATAAATTTTTACCAGGGACATTTTTTGTCTCTGTCTTTATGAGTGTTGACCCAAGCTGCCCATTGGGGGTAGTAATGGGTGACACTCAGATATAATGTATTCTGTGTCTCATAAGTCGGCACCGGCTGGTGATGTTACAAAATGTTGTTTTTATTATGTATTTTATATGTATATTGTAATGTCAGTGACACAAAAATAAACTATTTTAAACTAAAAACTAAACTAAACTGTATACTGAGGTATTTATATTGTTTATTTCACATACTGTTGTCAAGTAAAAACAAATAACAGGTAATTATTGTAACATAAACAATTAATAAATTACAGCAAGCTACATTCAAAGTTTCTCTAAAACAACTTTTCAGTAGTTTCACAGTTGTATCTTAGACATTTCTATTTCATTGTTTCATAGTAGAGTTTTGCTCAATTTATTTATAGTTTTTGAGACGATTATATTCTGAGGATTCGAGAGTGGACTACGTTCACGAAAGTAGCTTTATACTTCGTTTTCCCTGTCGGAGTACCTAACCCAGAAGTGACATTAGATTTACTCCAACGCAATCTTCAGAATTCGGACTATATCTGAATATGACATGTGACCATATATCGATATCCAGAGGGAGGTCCGCTGATATTATTAAGTATCTGATGCGAGGACTGTTTTGCTGTCATAAATTTCAAATACAATGTTTGACTTTCCTAAAGTACTATTGTAAAACATTAACATAATAGTTTACCATTATTGTGTACAAATACATAGCATTATTCTTAAAATACTAATTTATGTTAAATATATCACTTCAACAGTTGATTAAACCTGACAACTTGACAATGGGGGCTCGTCCATTCTGAATGTGATTTAATGTAATTTAAAATTTGTAGTACCTTGTAATTTACCTTGCTTTTACATATATTTGGCAATTTTATAGACCACTGTATTTTATCTTCCAGTAGAAGATTACAATTAATTCTGCAACGAAAAGCTGAATGTCAAACGGCGCTACTGCAAGTTCCTGACTTCGTACATCTTGTAAGGCTCTTCTGTTGCTGTTCGAACGTCAGCGTTCTTGTACTACTGCGTGAAGATCCCACACCGTCAGTCGTTATTGGGTAATATAGTATTAATTAAGGGTTTTAGTCTCTACACCTTGATGGGAGAGACTACTGTCATTTTCGTCATCATTACCCTTTTAAAAAGGTTGTACCCCTTGTTGTGTATAAATGTTCGTTCATTTTGATGTGTTCAATTCCAATTGTGCGCTCATTTTGACTACAAACTCTATACGTTCGTTCAGTTTTATGTGTTTCACGTGTTCGTTGAATTCCCACTCAAAAACTCAGTATCCACAGTTTGTAGTGTATGTTAGTAAATCGAACCACGTACGTGTAAGTAAGTAAATCGTGTACCGGAACTACGTCTAAGTAAGTAAATCGTGTACCGGAACCACGTGTAAGTATGTAAATCGTGTACCGGAACCACGTGTAAGTAAGTAAATCGTGTACCGGAACCACGTGTAAGTAAATCGTGTAACTGAAACACGTATATGTTTGAAAAAGTGTACCCAACCACGTGTAAGTAAATCGTATACCAACAAATTATACGTAACATGTATCTCCGTCATTCGTGTAACTAAATGTGTCTGTATCTACCACGTATACAGTAACGTGTATTATCCGTCGTACAATCAAGTAGTTGTAAACGTAGATCGTGTTTGTGTTCATGTGAACCTTCATAACCTGTCTTTATAGAATGAAACTGTGTCATCGTGTAAATTCTCTTTAAATCTTCATTTTTCATCTTCGTTCACTGATCTACAAAACCGTACAAAATGGAAAATTCCGATGATCTGGTTAAATATATTGACGCGGGAAAAGCATTAGGATTAACCGGTGATAAATTGCTCGAATTTGTAGAGAAAGAGAGCAATCGCATTGATGAACGTAAGGAACGTGCAAGAAAAAGAGAAGAAATACGCGTCGAAAATGAACAATCTTTCAAACTCGCAGAATTAATAGAGCGCTTAGCAACCATTGAAACCGAAAAACGTGCTCAACTTGTGAATGAACAAACTTTTACACTCGCAGAATTCGAACGACTAGCAGCCATTGAAACCGAAAAACGTGCTCAACTTGAAATCAATCTTGAAATTACAAGAACAAATGCCGAGAGAAACAATACTTCCATTGTTTCAAATAACATCAAAAAAGGTCCGAAATTACCTTGGTTCGATGAAAATAAAGACAACATTGATTCTTACCTAAGCCGGTTCGAAAAATACGCATTATCTCAAGATTGGCAACAAGATCAGTATGCAAATTACCTCGGTGCATTATTAAGGGGCAAAGCATTAGATGTTTACCACCGCATGCCCGCCGATCAAGTAAATAATTACGATCTATTGAAAACCGAACTATTGAAACATTATAATCGCAATGAAGATAGTTTCAGAAAAAAGTTTTTCCAAAGCTCATTTGAGAGTGGAGAAAACGCAACTCAATATGCAAATCGCATTTCACTGTATTTCGATCGCTGGATTTCAATGTCAAATACTGAGAAAGAATACAAAAGTTTAGCAGATCTCTTAATACGCGAACAATTTTTACACACAGTTGACAAAAACGTATCTACATTCATTCGCGAACACGAAATAACCAGTTTAGAAAGTGTTGTGAAATGCCGAAAAATATGCAATAGCGCACGGTAAAGATTCTTTGAAAAAACAATATAAACATGCGCGAAAATTAGAATCCAATAAAGCACAAAACAATGAAATATCCGAGAAAGCTGAAAATACACAAAATTCAAACAATCTTCCTGCCAAGCAATTCGTGCCTATTATTAGTCGAACTTGTTTTTTTGTTCTCGCAAAGGTCACATCGCTTCTGATTGTAAAACCAAACAACCCAAACAAACAACAAAACAAGAAAAGCCAATACAGTCGGCCGCTGTTGAAATTGTGAACCATGATCAATGTGAAAGTTCGGATGAAAGTGATTACGATGGTTTAGGCCCTATGTCATCTTATGAAGGTCACCTTAATGGGTCAAGGCTATTTCAAATTCAAATGTTAATATCTAAGTGTTTGGCATTTTAATTGCAATTGGCAACTGTTGTGACCCTTGGTGACTCATGATTAGGTGACCGTGGGCCAAGGTCATTTAAGGACAAAGGTCAATATCTAGGTATTTGGTGAGTAAAGGTTCTTGGGGCTGCTGTGACCTTCGGTGATCAATGCTTAGGTGACCTAAGGTCAAGGTTACTGTTTATGGATCAAGGTCATCTCAAGGTCAAAGGTCAATGTCTAGGTATTTTTTGCTTTTTATGACCCTTGGTCTGTGTTGTGACTCATGATTAGGTGACATGAGGTTAAGGTCAACTTTATCTTATCTTAACACATAAAATATCCAGTTTTGTGGACAGATCATGACCAATTGTTCCTCCTTTTGGGGCTTTTGTGCCTTCAATATCATTAATCACTGTGACATAGCTACCACGGTATATCCATAATAGGGTTTGAAACATGTAACCATCCTCAACATCTAGGCCTAGAAACATGTAACCATCCCCGATATAAAATAATAAAAACATCAGATCAGGTCCACCTAGATTTATCATGTCACATTGGAGATGAGGATAAACTTTGATTTTGTAACCATTATACAAGTTCGTGGGCCTATGACTTCCACTTGTTACCACTTAAATGTACGTATGTTGCCTTTCCGTACTCTTTCAAGAGCACAACCTCAAAGACACTCTTCAAATGACTGGTAGTTCTTTGATTAAGCATATTTCCGATAAGACATTATATTTATGACAATTTATTTAATGCATACAGTGTAACATAAAATTCACTCCAAGAATCCCATATAAGGTCGTTAAAGTCACGTAAGATTGTTCTTATTGACCAACAAGATTTGTGCAATTCAGAGGGCAGCTTTAGTATCATCTATGGCTAGTCTATATTATTTGAGGTCAGGATATGCACTTTTCTCAAAACAGCTCTGGAATGGTCCACTGAAGCTATCTGTGTCTGCTACTAACTCCAAGTATATTTTTAGCCTGAAGAAGAAATTGAAATCCATTGGTCACTTTTGCTTAAAATATTGATGTAGTATTTTTTGTGATTTTGAAAATTTTGCTGCTTTCAATTTTGCTGTTTCTGAGCAATAAACATTTTCCAATCGGTCATTGATAATTGTGTACTAGCATCATGTTATTATATAGAGAAATGGCATGAAATAAGGCATGAAACACTGGCACTAACAGGCCAGTAGGCAGGGGGGTGGGGGGAGTGGGGGTAGGAGGGTTCAAGGGCTTGAGCAAGCTATTGGTAGCACTTTCAAATTGGCACCCAGAAAAAATTCAAGGCTTAAGATACAGATTGGAAATCAGTCTTATTAATTAGGTATATCCACTATATGTCTGAGGAAGATATCATTTTCTTGAAAGATGAATGATAATTTTTTTTATAAATTTTCATTTTTCATTTTTCAATTTTCATTATCAATTTTTCAATATGCCTTATTCTCTATGTAACAAATTCCCAAGAAAAAATCCACATTTACAAATATACTTCAAGCATGTACTTGAAGAGAGTAAGTTAAAGTAATTTGGCTGCATTGGAAAGATTAAGGAATTTGCTTTAAAATGATATGCAACAAGTGTGTCCATAATAGTGAATAGAGTTTTGATAATTGCTTGTAGCACACAACTGTTGGTGTAACATTTCATTGTAAATTTTATGTTAAAAAAGACAGAATTTTTCAACATATTTTCCAATGTTTGCTTACTGTTTTTTTAAGATGATATCAAAAGTACGGAATGTTAGAATTCTGTCAATAAAAAAATTATAGAAAAGGCTGCAGTGGTTCCTGAGATATTGGCTCCCAAAATAACCAACTGATTTTCCGACACGCAAATGTCTTTTCCGAAGAGCATGTGTATTTCAAGACTGAAGTAATATGATACCCTAAAAACTATTTTAAAACAAAATGCATTTAGTTTCTTGAATATTCAAAACAAATAAGTAGCTTTGAACTGTCATATATACCTGTAAAATCAATTTTAAAATTCCGACACAAGAAAAAAGTCCTTTCCGAAGAGCTCTTTGGAAAAGACAAACTCTGTCAAAACAGTGCATTTACCAACAATTTTAAAGAGAAACACACTGGAATATATTTTCTGATGAACTTTTATACATAAAATATCTTTACTGAAGTAACTAAGACTAAAACAGGAACTACAAAAGTAAATGTGTCCTTTCCGAAGAGCAATCCAATCTCTGATTAGGAATGCTATATTGGATGTCAATAACTAACTTTTCTACTGATGTATAAAGGCACTAGCACAATGTTTACAAATATAACATTGAATCTTGATTTTGACAGTACTGTAAAACCCTTTAAAACACTGAGTGTAAAATATTGCAAATGAAGAATGCCGCAAATATAAAATTGTATCTTCATCACTATTTTTCCTGTGATAATAGGTTTAATCCACTGACAATTACCACCAACAATTGAGTCATTTCTGTGCATAATGCTGTTACATAGGCCCACGTGTCCCTGGCCCATTCATGATAGCCTTAAAGTGATGACTTTAATGATGTTCTACCCTATTATCGCCCATATATCTACCTATGAAAAATTGCAGATAATGTTGTAATCTGTGGTAAATCTCGAAAACATGAATACACGAATAGAAACAAATGTACAATCACTGAAAATTGCTCCCACAAATTCAATCTATTTAACAGCATTTAGCAATATACTAAAAAATGTCCTTTCCGAAGAGCTTTGGACAAGTGTAGTTTAGTCATATGGTACACATATATACTATCATGATTGTCTCTTATATAAACAAACATTATTAAGGACTTTGTAATGATTCAGACAGAAGGAAAAATCAACAGGATATTCAACGCTATTAAGTATTATCGTAATTGGAAAAATGATTGAACCTTTTTGCCAAAATCACAGGCCAAGTGACGAGACTGGTCTTCCTATTTCATTTCTATGATAATGATTCAGATAAAAACTATTAGTTATTTAGAACCATTTATGTGCATGCTTTAAAACAAAATATGCGGAACATATAATGAAACTTATGTATACCCTTTAATAATTGCAATTATGTGTGTGTCCTTTCCGAAGAGCCAAAGTTGGGGCTTATAATATCATCCTGATTTTTCCGATATCGATGCAAAAAGTTATCTCTGGGTCAATAAAAAATAAAAGGTAAGACATTATACTCTAGTAGCTCATGCTGGTTGAGTATGCACTTCTATGTCCAGAGATTTTCTCTTCAGAAATCATCTATGTGAAGGTCATTGATCAATTTTGGCTTGGTAACATATTTGCCACTGAAGGCGAAATAGGTCAAATGGCCACGCCCTTTTTTACGCGAATACTCCCCCCCCCCATTTTTGCATCTCCGGAACCGTTGGGCATAGAAGGTTGTGTGACCACTCAAAATGTCCGGAATGGCCACATTATAGGGGGTCAATAATACATATGTATTTAAAAAAGTCAATGGTTCTCAAGATATTTCCCAAAAACTGATTTTAGAATGAAAACTCCACTATTTTCTCCTTTGATCCTGTCCCTAGCTCCGATTTCGTTACTCGGCTGGGAAAAAAGGTTTGTTGGTATCATTTTGTTCCAGACACTCTCTAGAATAAATTCATCTTGGGTGGAATAAAAATGTGTGGTAAACGAATTCGCTATGGGCAGTTAAAGAGGCGCCATCTATTCATTTTCAAACAGGGGGTAGGGGTATAAAATAATTTTTTAACACATTTTAATAGTAAAATGACATTAAAATACTAATAAAATCTTATCAAAAACATTATTTACAATCAGTATGAATTTTCTTGTGTGGATTAGGGTGAAAATAAGGGCATATCTTGAAATTCACTACAGGGGCGCCACCTATTTCTGTACGTGTAATAACTTATTTTAGATTCGCTACGGTACAAAATGTACTGAAAAAATTCATTCTGAAGGACCTATACATGTTCATACCACATACTTAAAATCAGACCAATAGCTTATGTACCGGCGGAGAAAAAATTTATTGAAATTTAAAATTGTGGTATCATGCAGGATAGGGGTGACCATATCTCACATTATTAACTTCCAAAATATAGAGCATATGCATCTCAAATGTGCTCAAAATGTTGTATGTACTCTTGCTTTGTCATAATAGTACTAATAAGAAGTAGAAAAAAAATGATTGTACATTTTAGAAATATTAATTCTCATTTTGGCTTCTGACGTCCCAGGGGTGACCATATCTCACCTTTATAACTTCCAAAATATGGAGCATATGTTTCTCAAATGTGGTCAAAATGGTGTATGTACTCTTGCTTTGTCATAATATTAGTAATAAGAAGTAAGAAAATGATTGTACATTTAAAAAATATTAATTCTCATTTTGGCTTCTGACGTCCCAGGGGTGACCATATGTCACCTTAAAAACTTCCAAAATATGGAGCATATGTATCTCAAATGTGCTCAAATGGTGTATATACTCTTGCTTTGTCATAATAGAGAGATTTCGCACCTAGTGAAAGTACAACTTATAACGTGTACTTATACTTATAGGTAAACATACAAGGTGTTTCATAATGTGAGCTTTTCTTCAGGAAAGATCTTCTCGGACTGAAATAAATACAGGTCAAAGGGATGCCATTTGTACTTTCTTGAATTGTAGTATGTTTAGTTGATCCAAATGTGTTTGTCTAGAATAAAATAGGCTCATATATAGTACATATGCTATAGACCCGTCTCTTCTCAAATTGACTTTTTGGAGATGCTAGTTATGAAACACCCTGTATGTCATATGTTGAGCTACTGAATGTGTCGTTTCCAGGAATTGCTAGAACCTACTGGTTTGATTGGTGTTTCAAATTGATGGCTAAAGTATTTGATTGGATACTGTTCCCACTCAGCCAATTAATTTTAAAAAATGCTTGCGGTCAATTGTTCCACACACATGTAGGCAAATTTTTATACGGAGATCCAACTGTATACGTTATCATTTACGTAAATATACCGTTTTGTAAGTTAATTGAACTTATACTGATCATGAAAACATTGAAATAATCAACTTGTTTATGTATTGACTCACTTTAAAGAATCATGACTCCCTTTGAAGGATCGTGTTTATAATACACTACAACTACAAGGACACGGAAGCAAGCATTTAATTATAATGTGCATAATCTACACGTGCAGATGACAGTGCATTCATAGTCCAGTGTTCTCCCCAAAAAAATTTTTCAACTGGGTGCAAGATTTCAAGTCTGAAAAAATCAGCACTCGCTACGCTCACAATATCTCTGTGTAGGTGCTAACTTCACTCATTTTTTAAATCAGAAGTTGAAGTGCAGATGCCAACTGGGTGCCAACTGGGGGGCCTTTGGTTTCAAGTAGGGGGAGCCCCCGGTAAAAGTGACATGGGGAGATCACTGTAGTCTCTAGTTGATCGAGCTTTTCTATAACGGGAATAGTTATGTTCCATTAAGTACAATTAAAAATTGATTTTAGTAAATATAATAGTTCGACATGACCCTTTAAACTATACGTATACGTATAAGTTGTACTTTCACTTATGTGCGAAATCTCTCTAATATTAGTAATAATAATAAGAAGTAGAAAAATGATTGTACATTTGAGAAATTATTAATTCTCATTTTGGCTTCTGACGTCCCAGGGGTGACCATATGTCACCTTAATAACTTCCAAAATATGGAGCATATGTATCTCAAATAAACTCAAAATGGTGTATGTACTCTTGCTTTGTCATAATATTATACTAATAAGATGTAGGAATATGATTATACATTTAAAAAATTTTAATTTTCAACTCAGCAACCAAAAAAGTTTGTTTCCTTCGCTGATCTGACTAGATAGAGGCTGCGGATTCAGTCTTAAATGATGCAGGATAGATGAAAACTGTTGTGCGTAACATGCTAAAATCAGTTTTTGGCAAATATCTTGAGAACCATTGACTTTTTTAAATACATATGTATTATTGACCCCCTATAATGTGGCCATTCCGGACATTTTGAGTGGTCACACAACCTTCTATGTCCAACGGTTCCGGAGATGCAAAAATGGGGGGGGGGAGTATTCGCGTAAAAAAGGGCGTGGCCATTTGACCTATTTCGCCTTCAGTGGCAAATATGTTACCAAGCCAAAATTGATCAATGACCTTCACATAGATGATTTCTGAAGAGAAAATCTCTGGACATAGAAGTGCATACTCAACCAGCATGAGCTACTAGAGTATTAAGTAAAATTATGATTCAGGAAAATATTTTCTTCTAGCAAGTTTGAAAATCCACCTCTTTGGGACTAAAAGTGCTACCAATAGCTTGCTCAAGCCCTCAAGCAAATCTCCCCCCCCCCCCCGGCCAGAAATTTCGAATTTAAAATCATGCAGTTTTTCACCATTCTGAGCTTTTTTGAATTTATTTTAGGCCAAAATTGTCGAATGTGAACCCCTGGAATTTTTTGAAAAGTAAATCCCCTAGGAAAGGCGAAAACAGTGGTTTGATCATCTGAACGCAGAACCTAACATGCTAAAAATGTTCCACTTATGATAAGCTCTGGTTTGTATTCATTTATAAACATCACCATTTTGAAGAATCACTTACGATTTCAGTTGCAGCCATAACTCCCTCTCTCATAACATCACTTCCCTGTTGACACTGAAGGGAAAATATAAATACTTTGAAGAATATCAATTACTGACAATATAATCATCACAACATACATTCACAAGGCATTAACATGCAAAATGTCACCAGCTGCCATTTGTTACAAACACCGACCCCCGAATGCCGAACACCAAACGTTCACTTCTGGTGGTAAAATAAAAATGCTGCATGTGCATTTGGCTTTCCAAAATATATATCTCAAAATTTTTACCATTAGAAAAAAAATCAATACTACAATAATGTAAATGAAAACAATATTCCATTTTCAAAATACATGCAATGGAAAATTCAAAATTCGAACAATGATGAGACTTTTACATTGTTGACACTTGCGACAGATATCTCAATCAAAATCAAGGATGACAACTTGATGTGATGAAATTCCCATAATTATGATGAATATACAGTATACAATGATGCCAACCTATTAAATGATGATGGTTCATCCAACGATGATAACTCATACAATGATGCTAAAACAGAATATAAGAACAATGATGACAACTCATATACCATTAGAATGAATATATATGATGATGAAACCCCACACAATGGGGACAAATCATATAGATATAAACTTCAACAAATGAAACTTTTGCATACATGTACCTCCTTCACAGCTTTTCCCATTTTGGTAATATCTTGTATCCTTCTGTCCATGAACTGCCAAGTCTCTAAATAATCCCCAGATTTGTCTTGTAACATGTATATCTCACTAGATTTGTAAACTGCTGCTACTGAGAGACGCTTCGTGTACCAGTTCATCTGGAATAAATGCAAAATTGAGATGCAAAAATCTGTTCAACGATGGTAACTCAAACAAGGAAATAAACTCATACAAAGCTCATACAATGATGATAACTCATACGATGATGATAACTCATACAATGATGATAACTCATACAATGATGAAAACTCATACAATGATGATAACTCATACAATGATGATAACTCATACGATGATGATAACTCATTACAATGATGAAAACTCAAAAAATGATGAAAGCTCATTAAGCTCAATCAATAATGTTGAATATACAGGGTGTCAAATAAGTCCCGTCCCCCCTGCTACAGCTAGAACCTTAATAGATGGTGCCTAGTGTGATATACCATTGGAAAGATCATACAAAGTTATGTTAACTCATCAACTCTCAAGTATTTTGGATGAACTTCACCTATATTTTCATGATGTCTTTTATAGTTAGCATACCCTCCTTTAAGCAGATATTTTGCTTCAAAATGAGAAGGATTTGACCTCAGAAATACGTCAAAAATTTAATCTTTTTCGCATTCCACTTGATACAAAAATGTTTTCACCACTTACCTTGCTCCTCTTTTTTCTACACATCCTCCCCTATCCAGAAATTGGTTAAATTCATTGCCATAAACATATGTAGTCATTTTTAGGTCCTTTGACCTTTCTTATACCCGATTCTGAAAATCCTACGGAATGCGCCGAATTGCCATGTTTCTAGGCCTATGGTCACCTCAATTGATACACTGTAAAACTTTGTGAGATTGATTGACATGTGTCAGATATATGCTAATCAACGTAACTTTGGAAGACCTTTCCAATGATATATCACACTTGGTACCATACATCTTGGTTTTGGCTGAAGAGGGGGGGACGGGACTTATTTGACACCCTGTATATAATGATGAAAACTTATACAAGATGACAATTCATAACTAGCTCATTTGGAAAAGGATCATGTTTGAAAATGCTAATAAATCTTTAGAAAAAGTTTAAGGAAACATATTACCAGCCACAGAGAGAAAAAAGTCCCTAGGGGAGCATAATATTACATATTTTGCATTCACTTTCCTCACAACTAACTCAACCTCCCTATGATTACTGACTCTTACTACTTACATCTGTAGATCTATCCCCAGCGTGATACCAAATTTCATCAACAAGATTTGCAAGATTCTGCCATGCAGTTGGTGCATTCTGTGGTAATGTCATTATTCCCATTGCCTAAAAGTAAACAATATATGCTTGTTAATGTATAGTATATATATAGGGCAGCATCTTTATCAAATATGTGTAGCTCGACTAGATAATGGTGCAAGACCACTGTTTTTCCATTCAAAACAATCAAAATATGTACACTTAAACCTGTAAAATGGAACACCTTCATAACTGTACCCTTCAAGTAATGTAAAATGGACCTACGTGTATGTTGTTGAAACACCTACAGAAAGGCATTAGTTTGCATTCAAAATGTGTTTAAGAGTTTAACTGTACAAGTATGCAATTGTGGAACACCTTTCAAGTGGAGTATTATTTTGAGGTACAAACAGTGTTCCATTTATACAGGTTTTACTGAACATGTATACAATTGTGGAACACCTTTCAAGTGGAGTGTTATTTTGAGGTATAAACAGTGATCCATTTATACAGGTTTTACTGAACAAGTATACAATTGTGGAACACCTCTCAAGTGGAGTATTATTTTGAGGTATAAACAGTGTTCCATTTATACAGGTTTTACTGAACATGTATACAATTGTGGAACACCTTTCAAGTGGAGTGTTATTTTGAGGTATAAACAGTGATCCATTTATACAGGTTTTACTGAACAAGTATACAATTGTGGAACACCTCTCAAGTGGAGTATTATTTTGAGGTACAAACAGTGTTCCATTTATATAGGTTTTACTGAACAAGTATACAATTGTGGAACACCTCTCAAGTGGAGTATTATCTTGAGGTACAAACAGTGTTCCATTTATATAGGTTTTACTGAACAAGTATACAATTGTGGAACACCTCTCAAGTAGAGTATTATTTTGAGGTACAAACAGTGTTCCATTTATACAGGTTTTACTGAACAAGTATACAATTGTGGAACACCTCTCAAGTGGAGTATTATCTTGAGGTACAAACAGTGTTCCATTTATATAGGTTTTACTGAACAAGTATACAATTGTGGAACACCTCTCAAGTGGAGTATTATCTTGAGGTACAAACAGTGTTCCATTTATATAGGTTTTACTGAACAAGTATACAATTGTGGAACACCTCTCAAGTGGAGTATTATTTTGAGGTACAAACAGTGTTCCATTTATACAGGTTTTACTGAACAAGTATACAATTGTGGAACACCTCTCAAGTGGAGTATTATTTTGAGGTACAAACAGTGTTCCATTTATATAGGTTTTACTGAACAAGTATACAATTGTGGAACACCTCTCAAGTGGAGTATTATTTTGAGGTACAAACAGTGTTCCATTTATACAGGTTTTACTGAACAAGTATACAATTGTGGAACACCTCTCAAGTGGAGTATTATCTTGAGGTACAAACAGTGTTCCATTTATATAGGTTTTACTGAACAAGTATACAATTGTGGAACACCTCTCAAGTAGAGTATTATTTTGAGGTACAAACAGTGTTCCATTTATACAGGTTTTACTGAACAAGTATACAATTGTGGAACACCTCTCAAGTGGAGTATTATCTTGAGGTACAAACAGTGTTCCATTTATATAGGTTTTACTGAACATGTATACAATTGTGGAACACCTTTCAAGTGGAGTGTTATTTTGAGGTATAAACAGTGATCCATTTATACAGGTTTTACTGAACAAGTATACAATTGTGGAACACCTCTCAAGTGGAGTATTATTTTGAGGTACAAACAGTGTTCCATTTATATAGGTTTTACTGAACAAGTATACAATTGTGGAACACCTCTCAAGTGGAGTATTATCTTGAGGTACAAACAGTGTTCCATTTATATAGGTTTTACTGAACAAGTATACAATTGTGGAACACCTCTCAAGTAGAGTATTATTTTGAGGTACAAACAGTGTTCCATTTATACAGGTTTTACTGAACAAGTATACAATTGTGGAACACCTCTCAAGTGGAGTATTATCTTGAGGTACAAACAGTGTTCCATTTATATAGGTTTTACTGAACAAGTATACAATTGTGGAACACCTCTCAAGTGGAGTATTATCTTGAGGTACAAACAGTGTTCCATTTATATAGGTTTTACTGAACAAGTATACAATTGTGGAACACCTCTCAAGTGGAGTATTATTTTGAGGTACAAACAGTGTTCCATTTATACAGGTTTTACTGAACAAGTATACAATTGTGGAACACCTCTCAAGTGGAGTATTATTTTGAGGTACAAACAGTGTTCCATTTATATAGGTTTTACTGAACAAGTATACAATTGTGGAACACCTCTCAAGTGGAGTATTATTTTGAGGTACAAACAGTGTTCCATTTATACAGGTTTTACTGAACAAGTATACAATTGTGGAACACCTCTCAAGTGGAGTATTATCTTGAGGTACAAACAGTGTTCCATTTATACAGGTTTTACTGAACAAGTATATAATTGTGGAACACCTCTCAAGTGGAGTATTATCTTGAGGTACAAACAGTGTTCCATTTATACAGGTTTTACTGAACAAGTATATAATTGTGGAACACCTCTCAAGTGGAGTATTATCTTGAGGTACAAACAGTGTTCCATTTATACAGGTTTTACTGTACAAGTACACAATTGTGGAACACCTTTCAAGTGGAGTATTATTTTGAGGTACAAAAAGTGTTCCATTTTTACAGGTTTTACTGAACAAGTATACAATTGTGGAACACCTTTCAAGTGAAGTATTATTTTGAGGTACAAACAGTGTTCCATTTATACAGGTTTTACTGAACAAGTATACAATTGTGGAACACCTTTCAAGTGGAGTATTATTTTGAGGTACAAACAGTGTTCCAATTATACAGGTTTTACCGTACATTTATACAATTGTGGAACACCTTTCAAGTGGAGTATTATTTTGAGGTACAAACAGTGTTCCATTTATACAGGTTTTACTGAACAAGTATACAATTGTGGAACACCTTTCAAGTGGAGTATTATTTTGAGGTACAAACAGTTTTCCATTTATACAGGTTTTACTGAACAAGTATACAATTGTGGAACACCTTTCAAGTGGAGTATTATTTTGAGGTACAAACAGTTTTCCATCTATACACGTTTAACTGTACATGTATACAATTGTGGAACAACTTTCAAGTGGAGTATTATTTTGAGGTAAAAACAGTGTTCCATTTATACAGGTTTTACTGAACAAGTATACAATTGTGGAACACCTTTCAAGTGGAGTATTATTTTGAGGTACAAACAGTTTTCCATCTATACACGTTTAACTGTACATGTATACAATTGTGGAACAACTTTCAAGTGGAGTATTATTTTGAGGTAAAAACAGTGTTCCATTTATACAGGTTTTACTGAACAAGTATACAATTGTGGAACACCTCTCAAGTAGAGTATCATTTTGAGGTGAAAACAGTGTTCCATTTATACAGGTTTTACTGAACAAGTATACAATTGTGGAACACCTCTCAAGTGGAGTATTATTTTGAGGTACAAACAGTGTTCCATTTATACAGGTTTTACTGTACAAGTATACAATTGTGGAACACCTTTCAAGTGGAGTATTATTTTGAGGTAAAAACAGTGTTCCATTTATACATGTTTTACTGTACAAATATACAATTGTGGAACACCTTTCAAGTGGAGTATTATTTTGAGGTATAAACAGTGTTCAATTTATACAGGTTTTACTGTACAAGTATACAACTATGGAACACCTCTCAATTTATACAGGTTTTACTGAACAAGTATACAATTGTGGAATACCTTTCAAGTGGAGTATTATTTTGAGGTAAAAACAGTGTTCCATTTATACAGGTTTTACTGAACAAGTATACAATTGTGGAACCCCTTTCAAGTGGAGTATTATTTTGAGGTAAAAACAGTGTTCCATTTATACAGGTTTTACTGAACAAGTATACAATTGTGGAACCCCTTTCAAGTGGAGTATTATTTTGAGGTAAAAACAGTGTTCCATTTATACAGGTTTTACTGAACAAGTATACAATTGTGGAACCCCTTTCAAGTGGAGTATTATTTTGAGGTAAAAACAGTGTTCCATTTATACAGGTTTTACTGTACATGTATACAATTAAGCATGTAGTTATCTCAATGTCACAATTTGTATTCCAGCAGTAACACTACAAGTGTCATCACAATGAAGCAAAATGCCACAACAGTCACATTTTAAAATGCAAAATAAAGGGAAAAAGAGAGAAATTAGCACGAAATAAAATAAACAGGTATAAAGCAGATACTCTAAATTGTATGGAAATTTTAGAAAATCTGAAGCTTCATTCAAATTTTAGAGAGAAATTGAGTGAAATGAGCACGAGCAGACGGACATTTTGCAAGAGATCTTAGATAAAGTTCAACTACCTAAGAACTGATAATACCATTGTAATCTCAAAACATCCCCTGCCAAAATATTTTATTCTAATTATCCCCTCAAAAGTGTAAAATGACCATTGTTGATTATCAATTTTTAGTAGCATTTTAGTATATCTAGTATTGGGTCAATAACATTTTTGTTTCTCTAAGTTCCTCGTTTATTTGTCATTTCAACCAGATTTTATAAGACGATCATTTATTGAAGAATTTAATTCCACCATATTTTAATTATGTTATTGTCTCAAGATAAGGCCATTGTTTGGGACATTTGTTTAACACGGACTCTTGATTGTTAATTTTTGAAGGCCATGCAATTCTGCAACAACCCCATCTCAGTCTTATATACAAGACAATGCATTAACATGCAAAATGTCACCACCTGCCATTTGTTACAGATGCCGAATGCCAACTACCAAATGCAAAATGCTGACCACCAAACAGCATCCACCAAGAAGTTGGAGACTTTAACATTAACCACAACTGGTGACATTGTTATATTATCATGAAATAAATAAATAAAATAAAATTAAAAAAACTATCTGAAAGAAACTCCTCTCTGATTAGAAAAGTTTTCAAAAGATTGATATTCCATCATGTGTTAATGAACTTTTCTATAAGGAACAAGCATTAAGGAGGATGTTGCATAATATATCCACAGGTTTTACTGTACAGTCATGTAGATATGTGATATCTGAAACACTTCATACAAGACTTGAAGTACAGAAACAGATATTTTATCTTGTGGCCTAACCTTGGATGAAGGGGGTTGGGAACATGTCTAACACTCATCTACCCACATCTTAATGTCAACATAATTGCAAGGATCCCACATTTAGTCGATGAGAACAAATATTTTACATTGTGATTTCATTCAGTTCAAATCCAGTATGTTGTTGGTGGAACCAAAGAGCTGAAAAGGTGAGTTTTTTTTAAAAATTTATTTGATTCCATTGTGATTTTATCTTTAATGTCACCAATGTTGCCTCCATATATATCTAGCAAGATAGTAATTTATATATGTTTAATTGTTTGTATTTCTTCATATTACATAAACTTGTCATTACTTAATGGAAGCTAATGAGGTGTGGTGTCACATCTGATGTCAACATAACACGATGTCACTCGGTCTGTTCAATTTCAAGACATTTTTTTAAGATTTCTTAAATATTTTTGAGACTTCCTATGTGAACTCATTGTTAATGAAAGTCTTGAAAGTGTACTATTTTGTAAATCGAGTGGGAAATGATTTTGGCATTTTAGCAAATGAAACAGCCTTTTTCACTGACCTTTACCCCCAGACTGTCCAGACTGTAGCCAGCTTTTGCCAAGGGGGTTAATTTTTTAAAATTCCAGGGGTTCACATTTGATCAGTTTGGCCCAGAATGCAAAAGTGCTAAGAATGGTGAATAACTGAATGATTTTAAAGGGGGTGGGGGGTTTGCTCACTTCTGCTGACCCCCCACCCCCCCAGTTATTGACCCGGTGTCACATATATGAAAACAAAATTGCATTTTTGTATGTTATTTTACAGAGCCATGAGAGAAGAAAGGCCAACCCGATTGGTCAGTTTACCAATCAATCACGATATTGAGACATCGTCACGGATACTTCACCTCTACCTCGAACTGGAATCCCACAATCATCATAACGATAAACACTCACTTACGAGGACCCCTTCAAGAAGCAAATCAAAAGAACCACGGACCCCTGGAAAAAGTCCAGTTACTCCAAAAGGTCAATCCCAATTTGATATCGCACTAGCAAACCGCCCGGGATATGTCTGTATTATCGGGCAGAAAAATCGGGTCTATGACGGAAACACATGGTACAAAATCATATCCTCCGATAAACCGCAGAAAGTTATCCATGATTTGCAACCGGGATCCCCGTATCAGCTGCGACTGTGTTCGGTTTACCTCGTCAGCCAGATGCTTTCAGCTGAGGTTGCCGTGAAGCAAAATCTTCGTTCTACGCTCTCGGGAGGATGTATTAATGGTGATTGGTTCAAACTGGATATTATCGATTTATTGGATATTACGGAAATCTTATGCAGGAAGTATGATGTGCTACAGGTCAACGATAACTCAGAACATTATTAGACATTCAAGACTTCCAAAGGCCCCTTTAAGTTAATTTCTGTTTACTGGAGATACATGTAAAAACATTCTTGAGGCAGTGCGTCCCAACCAGAATATCTTTTTGAGGAAAGGATTCTGTAGCTCCAGCTTCAGAAGAAAAAGGTTTGAGCCAAGGGATGTGTTCTGACAATTTTCAGACAAGGGACCTGCATAACTTGCATACTGAGTTACTGACTTGCTTCTTAATATCTAGGGTCTTAATGAACTTCAAATAAGAGTCATCTATGCAAATCTTGAACCTATAGATTGAACACTGATACAAGGAATAAACTTCTAAACGGCAAGGTCATCAATATAGTTTTATTGGTCGATATAATAAGCAGTAAAGACATGCATCAACCTCAAAATATTATTCTTGGTGAGATAAACAGTGGAAAGTAGTCGCTTTATAGTGTTTTAGTAATGTGGAAAGTTCTATCACGTCAACAGCCACATTCATCCTTTTCATCACTGTTTATCTTGCCATCTATCGTAAGACTTAAGAAACTACATTTCAATCAAAGCAGGCTCTGAATTGGGGACTGGATACTCACCTGTGGCCATGTGTCTATATAAGGTATGATCATTCTAAGGCGTGTCTCCAGGGCCCATCTAATTAGCTTTGTTGTGCCTTTTTTCCTGGAAATGGGGAACAATGAACGAGGTTATTGTGAGAAAAAGGGAATATCAGAGGTAATTATTAGACTCCAGATTGAAAATCTGGAGTCTATTGTTTTTGCCTGTTTTCTTTATTATTATTAGACTCCAGATTGAAAATCTGGAGTCTATTGCTTTTGCCAGTTTTCTTATTATTAGACTCCAGATGTCAATCTGGAGTCTATTGTTTTTGCCAGTATTCTTTATTATTCTTATTATTATTCTTCTACCTACGTTTTCTCAGTAACTAGAAGACATTGAGTCAAGATCTGTATATGGTCAGTTTAGGTCCAGTATCTAGTTTCTCGGAAATTGGTTCAATTTTTTTATCTAGGTCAAAGGTCAAGAACTAGGTCAAATCCAGTACTTTGTCACTTTTTCCCATTATCTCGGTCGTCCTTCAATATTTTCGATCAGGTTTTTTTTCATTGTGTTCCTCATTAAAAAGTAGGAAATCTAGATTTTTGGTATCTCAAACCGATTTCGAGATATCAGTGTCCGAAAACGAGGTCCAAAAAAAAGTTCTCCGAATCCAATGTCAAGGATATTAGTCTTATAGGAAATTTTCTCAGGATTCCGAATCTGAAAACCGAATTGAAATCCGACTTCCGGTTCAGGAGTTATGACGTTTTGAAAGTTCGAGAAAAATCGATCTGATGGTACCCTTATAGAATGTCAAGAAAAGTAAAAAAAATTGTTATTCTTCTACCCACGTTTTCTCCTTAACTAGAAAACATTGAGTCAAGTCCTGTATATGGTCAATTTAGGTCCAGTATCTAATTTCTCAGAGATTGGGTCAATTTTTTATCTAGGTCAAAGGTCAAGAACTAGGTCAAATCTTACATTTTCAACATTAAATCAATTATCTTCGTCGTTATTTATCAAAACGTCTTCGTCATTTATTCATCATGTAGCTTAGAAAAAGCCCTTTCATAACTGTCCCTGTTTTTTTTTAATTACTCTTACCGATTTTGAAATATGGCGTCCAGAAAGTAGGTCAAAACAAAAGTTCTCTAAATTCAGGGTATGAGTTATGAATTAGGGGTAGAATTTTGTCAGGAATCTGAATCTGGAAACCAAATTTCGATCCGACTTCCGGTTCGGAAGTTATGGCGTTTTGAAAGCTCAAAAATCGCTAAATTTGGTGCCCATGTTTAGTCAATGGGGAAAAAGAGTTTTTTGAAGTGAAGAATACGAAATGTAGACTGAGTTCAGCTTCGTATAATCAAAGCCTTTAAAAGAAGGGGACCTCAAAAGCCACATAGCTTCAAAATTTGGACACCAAAATGCCTAGTTCAAAATCTAGGTCAAATTCAAAGTTTTTTCCTATTTTTGCGATTCTGACACTACACTTTAATTATATTCTTCGAAATTGTGTATACATGTAGTCAAGAGTGTGCTAATAGCGTTAGCCTTTTGCCGTCAGAAGGTATTTTGACCCACTTTTGAGATATGGTGTCCAAAAAGTAGGTCAAAATAAAAAGTTCTCCAAATTTAACGTTTGAGTTATGAATTAAGAATAGAATTTTCTCAGAGTTCCGAATCTGCAAACCAAATTTCGATCCGACTTCTGGTTCCGAAGTTATGGCGTGTCCAAAAAGTAGGTCAAAATAAAAATTCGCCAAATTTGACGTATGAGTTATGAATTAGGGGTAGAATTTTGTCAGGAATCCGAAACTTTAAATCAAATTTCGATCCGACTTCCGGTTCGGAAGTTATGGTGTTTTGAAATTTCGGAAAATTGATCTGATGGTATCCTGATAGAAAGTCAAGAGTAGAGAAGAAAATATTGAAAAATTCATCCATCCATCCTTCCTATCTGATCCTATCCTTCCTATCTATCCTTCCTTCGTATCCTTTCCTTCCTATCCTTTCCTATCATATCCTTTCTTCCTATTCTGTTCTATCCTATCCTTCTTTCTTATTCTATCCTATCGTTCCTTCCCATTCTATCCTATCCTACCTTCCTATTTTATCCATCCATCTTATTCTGGATGACTCAGCTTATTCTGGATGACTCGGCTTATTTTAGATGACTGGGCTTAAAAAAGTCTAGATCTGGAGTCTGAAATTGAACTTCGTTCAATTTCCAAAGTCTAGTTATTATTATTATTATTATTTTTCTTCTTATTCTTCCTCCTTACAAGATTTCTCACCAACTAGAAGAACATACTTTAATCTGCTTACATGATCAACTAGGGAATGTATCTGGGATTATGGGAAATTAGGTCAAATTTTTATCTAGGTCAAAGGTCAAGAACTAGGTCAAATCCAGTACTTTGTCACTTTTTCCAATTATCTCGGTCGTCCTTCAATATTTTTGATCCGGGTTTTTTTCATTGTGTTCCTCATACAAAAGTAGAAAACCTAGGGTCGATTTAGTTTTTTGGTATCTCAAACCGATTTCGAGATATCAGTGTCCGAAAACGAGGTCCAAAAAAAAGTTCTCCGAATCCAATGTCCAGGATATCAGTCTTATAGGAAATTTTCTCAGGATTCCGAATCTGAAAACCAAATTTCGATCTGACTTCCGGTTCAGAAGTTATGGCGTTTTGAAATTTCGAGAAAAATCGATCTGATGGTATCCTGATAGAAAGTCAAGGAAAAAAGATTTTTTTGAAGTGTAAAATATGAGATATAGACTGAGTACAGCTTAAGATAATGAATTCCTATAAAAGAAGGGGACCTCAAAATCTACCTAGTTTCAATATTTGGACACCAAAATGCCTAGGTCAAAATCTAGGTCAAATTCATAGTTTTTCCTTATTTTTGCGATTCTAGCACTACACTTTAATGATTTGCTACAAAAGTTTGTATACAGGTAGATAAGAGTGTGCTAATAGTGATAGCCTTTTGCCGTCAGAAAGTATTTTGACCCACTTTTGAGATATGGTGTCCGTAAAGTAGGTCAAAATAAAAAATTCTCATAATTTAACTTATGAGTTATGAATTAAGGGTAGAATTTTCTCAGGAATCTGAATCTGCAAACCAAATTTCACTCCGACTTCCGGTCAAAAATTCCTACTTACCTAACTACCCACCTACCTACTCGGCTACCTACTTAGCTACTTACTTCTCAGCTACCTACTCAGCTACTTACTCAGCTACCTACTCATCTACTTACTCAGCTACCTACTCAGCTACTTACTCAATTACTTAATCATCTACTTACTCAGCTTGCTACTCAGTTACTTACTCAGCTACCTACTCAAGTAAATCAATCTGGAGTCTTAAATTGAACTTTGTTCAATTTACCAATCTAGTTATTATTATTATTATTTTTCTTTCTTTTTTCTTCCTCCTCGCCAAATTTCTCGTCAACTATAACAGCTTACTTAATCAAACTTACATGGTTAACTAAAGACTGAAACCGGCTTTCTGGGAAATTAGGTCAAATTTTTATCTAGGTCAAAGGTCAAGAACTAGGTCAAATCTTACATTTTCAACATTCTTCATCATATCTTCGTCAATATTCTTCGTAACTCCTTCATCTTTTTTTCATCGTGTAGCTTAGAAAAAGGCGAATCAAAGATATGACATCAGAATTTTGATTACTCTTACCGATTTTGAGATACGGCGTCCGAAATGTAGGTCACGCCTAAACATGCTCCAAATCGAAGGTGTGAGCTATGAAAAAGATGTAGAATTTTCTCAGGAATCCAAATCTGCAAACCAAATTTAGATCGGACTTCCGGTTCGGAAGTTATGGCGTTTTGAAAGCTCAAAAATCGCTAAATTTGGTGCCTATGTTAAGTCAATGGGAAAAAAGACTTTTTCGAAGTGTAAAATACAGGATATTGACTGAGTACAGCTTAACATAATGAATGCTTATAAAAGAAGGGGACCTCAAAAGCTACATAGCTTCAAAATTTGGACACCAAAATGCCTAGGTCAAAATCAAGGTCAAATTCATAGTTTTTCCTTATTTTTACGATTCTGACACTACACTTTAATAATTTACTTCAAAATTTTGTATACAGGTAGCAAAGAGTGTGCTAATAGTGTTAGCCTTTTGCCGTCAGAAAGTATTTTGACCCACTTTTGAGATATGGTGTCCGAAAAGTAGGTCAAAATAAAAAGTTCTCCAGATTCAACGTATGAGTTATGAATTAAGGGTAGAATCTTCTCAGGAATCCGAATCTGCAAATCAAATTTCGATCCGACTACCGGTTCGGAAGTTATGGCGTGTCCAAAAAGTAGGTCAAAATAAAAAATTCCAAATTTAACGTATGAGTTATGAATTAGGGGTAGAATTTTGTCAGAAATCCAAATCTGCAAACCAAATTACGATCCGACTTCTGGTTCGAAAGTTATGGGGTTTTGAAAGCTCAAAAATCGCTAAATTTGGTGCCCCATGTTATGTCAATGAGAAAAATGATTTTTTGAAGTGTAAAATACCAGATAAAGACTGAGTACAGCTTAATATTCTGAAAGCCTATAAAAGGAGGGGACCTCGAAGGCTATCTAGCTTTAAAATTTGGACGCAAAAATGCCTTGGTCAAAATCTAGGTCAAATTCATAGTTTTTCCTTATTTTTGCGATTCTGACATTACACTTTAAGGATTTGCTTCAAAATTTTGTATACAGGTATCAAAGAGTGTGCTTATAGTGTTAGCCTTCTGCCGTCAGAAAGTTTTTTGACCCACTTTTGAGATATGGTGTTCGAAATGTAGGTCAAAATAAAAAATTATCCAAATTTAACGTATGAGTTATGAATTAAGGGTAGAATTTTCTCAGGAATCAGAATCTTTAAACCAAATTTCGATCTAACTTCTGGTTAGATAGTTATAGCGGTTTGAAGTCTCGAAAAGTCGATATGATGATATCCCCATGTTAAGGTAATAGAGTCGAAGATAGCCTTCTTAAAAGTTGCTTAAATGTCTATATTCTAGCTGACTCAGCTTATTCTGAATGACTCAGCTTACAAGTTCTGGATGACTCAGCTTAAAAAAAATGTGAAATCTGGAGTCTTAAATTGAACTTGTTCAATTTACATGTCTAGTTATAAATATAACTGTATAGAGTGTATTTAGACATTAAAGGTGCAACAATTTGTGCAGAAGGGGCATTCAACGATCATGGACTAGTGTCAAAATATATTCAAGTTTGGATATTTCATGAAGACTAGCATATATTTTTATTTTCTCCAAAGACCCTGGATGAACATTATTTCAGCTGATATTCCTCTTGAAACATGATGGATCTTCAAAATCTATAAGTGGGACTCCCTTTATAGAAGCTTTGAACTGAATTTACACATGCTAAAATTGATAGTTCATCCTTACATTTTAAGAAAATAGGTATGTCAAAGAAGATGTTAAGTCAAAATGTTGTCCTGATAGCTAAAAAAAGGAAAAAAAATTGAATCTTCTCTCTACAGACCTTGTTGCCCCTTTAAATATCATTTTTGGCAAGTCAAAACCTACATTTAGGAACATTTAGTGTGTACAATTAACTATGAATTCAAGGAAACCAGGATAAATTGCTCAAAATATATTTAATTTAGAAAAATCCGATTAAAAAAGTCAGATCGAATATAGAATCATATGTATACCATACACACCAAATATCATTATTTAGTGGCATAAACAGCTGTAAACTGCAATAATATGTACCATTTTAGGGCTAAAATGGTGCAAATTATTGACAGTGTAAATATCACAATATAGTTTTAGTATACTACGCATGTATAATGTAATAGTGATATGAGTCTTGCATCTAGCCTTGTTTTCTCTCCCATTTTTTACACACAGACCTCCCAGCATTTTGGATGCTGTCAAAACCCTGTTGAAATTTCAAATATTACAGGCCACCTATCTTTTTGTACCCTACCAAAGGGTTGAAATATTTGATGAAAGGATACAAGTTTTAACCGAAACTGACAAAATAAAGATCTTACGTAAGCAATTGATACCGTAAAATTCAATGACAGCTAGCTATACAAGGGTGGATATATCAAAAGGGAGGAGAGAAGGGGAGAAGACTTGATGCAGACTATATTTATAAAGATGACTGAGATATGTGCAATAAAATAAGTTCGATTGATGTAATAAAAAAATACATATGTATTTGTTTTCATGTTTTTCTAAGAAGGTGAATCACTAAATAATTCCCCTAAAAAATATTAACAGGTTTCAGAAACAGACAAAGCAATACCATGCAAAATGTCAACCCCTGCCATTTGTTACAGATATCGACCGTGGAATGTCAATAACCCAGATGCGAGTAGAAATAATCTTGATTTACGTCATTAAAAATTCAAAATTCAGTCAAAGTAATATCATATTTGAAATCTACATGTAAAATTACATCTAGAAATGTGGTTTTAAAAAGTGTTTATCAACTTTGAAAAATTAATTTTCTTTGAAAATGTGACTTCCAGCTCGGGGAGATTCCCCATAGACCCCATGCTATAAAATCACAAAAAATGAAATATCTTTTCTTTTAGTAACCAGATAATATTTTGCTTTACTGGACATATTTTCATTAGTATAAGTATCAGACACATAAGGGTTATATGAAAATTGAGCCACTTAAATTGATAATATTCAAGTTTAAGGGAACTTTCTTATATACCTGCCATGTTAATTGACCCGAATCAGCCACCTGGTGGTGAAACTGGTAACTACCTACTCGCATTTGGGTAATTAGAGACACTGTCCATGAAAAAGTCTGACACTATAACAAAATGTCACCACAAATTCAAACTTGGGACACAAAGCTGAATGGGTTCTGAATAAATAAACATGTGAGTTTTCAGGGCCAGTTTCTTGAACCCCTATATATCACAATTGCTCAATCATGTGCTTTATCTAGATTTGAGAAACTGTCCCCTGACCAATCAAATTCTTTTAAAATACAATGCTGTACTTACTCTTCTGCATCCTTTTGAGTTTCCTTGTGTAGTTTCTCCGAAAGTTGATTGTTGGACAGAACATAGAAATAACTGACAAGATCAGCCCCACCCCCAGGAAACAGCCCATGGGTTACAGCAGGGTACCCCTCCTCCTCGGCACCTATATTAGAAAATACAAGGTGATAAATATCTAACTCTATAAATCAGATATAACAGGTGTACCAGGGATAATTCATGAAATTGAGGTTGCAGATTTTTTATTTCTCAAAAAATGTGAATCACAATTTTGCAATTTTTGACTTGAGGTGGGCAGATTTTCACAGTAGCACATAGCACAAGATTTTATTTTGAGTTTTTGAATCTTCAAGATTTTGCAAAATGTACCAGATCAAAGATAAACTTTTTCAAGGGATTAACAGGACAAAATGTCACCATAAGTTATTGGAAGTTAAAAAAATTTGTTAAGACACCCAAACCTGAACGCCGACTGCTGAACACCATCTACCAAAAAGTTGGAGACTATGACAAGATGTCACCAAAAAAATGCAACATATTATAAACTTCAGGGTAATTTTCCAGGGGCCGAAGGGTCAAAATTTTTTACCTGCAACAATTGCCTTCTTTGTCCAGCCATATTCATTCACAAATGTTAGCGCTGAGTTGAGGATTCTTGTCTTAGTTTCATATTCTCTGTCGGTTTCAGGATTTTCACTGAAAAATAAAATCGATAAAATAAAACCATTGTATCCAGGACAGATATGGGCATACAATTGTAAAAGTTTTATGTTATACATCTAATATCATTGTGATTATGTAGAATAGAGTTAATATGGATCAAATATTGAATTTATCTTGAAGAATGATATATCTTGCTAGGGACTGCATTGAAACTGCATTTATTTATGGACATACCCTAAACTAACAACTTGGCAATTGGGATGTTTAGTAAAGACAACAGTCTGTAAGTTCTTATCTAAAAAGTATGCACCTTTGAGAGGAATCTTGTTGTTCCTCTGTGTTTGTACTAAAGCTGCGTAAACCCCTAGCTGCAGGGGTGCCATCTATCTGTAGTTTTATTCCACATACTTTTGTACTGATTCTCCTAGCCCCTAGAAAATAATAAAAAATTGTTTCTTAAATAATACACATTTTGTAAATTCACAATTTTATATAAATTGTAGCTAATTATGTTTGTGTAAAAAACAGTAGAACCTGCATATGAACACCTCTCTTAACTGAGTACCTCTCAACGTGAACACTTTTTTAATCACAATTTTGTTACTTGCAATTGACACATGTATTATCAAGAAACCTTGGAATGTGAACATCAATGCAATCAGACCACAGATTTGAACATTTTCAATGGCATTTCTCTATAAGAATAAGTATGGAACTTTAATTGTGAAAGAATGGAACTTATTTATTGTGAATGTATGGACTTTTATTGTAAAAGTACAGAACTTTTATAGTAAAATTATGGAACTTTTATTGTAAAAGTATGGAACTTTTAATGTAAAAGTATGGAACTTTTATTGTAAAAGTATGGAACTCTTATTGTAACAGTATGGAACTTTTCCATTGAATCAATGTAGCAACCACCTGATTTTGAACTGACATATTTTATCTCAAAATGGACAGTCTAATAATTTTGAGAATTTTGACAGTATGTATACAGCGACCTTGAGTTGGAAAGCTTCACACTACTTTAAGATGCATTATATTTATAGATAATCCCTAGGTGCAGGCGGGGCTATTAGTTTAGTTGTACCCAAAGGCCTCTGTACATTTCTGTGATTTTTTACTGTGACTTTACCTTTGTTTGAATTAAACTTGGGGGTCTATGTCTAATAATTTCTAGTAACCCTAATAATAACTTTGTGGTGTGTAATTCTAATAATTACTTTGTGGTGTGTCATGTCCTTGAGCTATTTATTTTGGATTAATTTTTCTGACCAACCCAGAAAGTGGTAAAACGTAAATTGGGAACCCCTTCAAAGATTGTTTCAGATACTTACTACAGGGTGAGACAAAAAAGATGACCCAAACAAACATAAATATTCAAATATGTGCATATTTCAAACAATTAAACACTTTTCAATGTTCTTTCATTAGTTGCACCTGTTACATACAGTGAACACCATTTTGTGGCTCCATAGGTGTTCACTATGATACAATCTGGTTAAAGGGGCATTGTTTATTAAATCTTTACTTCCTATCAAAATGATGGTAATTCTATACCATTGAAAAATAAAACAAAAACATTCACGGTCAATACTTTTTGAAACATATTTGTTAATTTATTTTTGCAAGTATACAAGGGCCGATCAAAAAGTTTCTTACCGTTGGTTCTCAATTTTATAATAAGAGGAGTTGGAAGCTCAAACTTTATCATGAGACAGGATAGTTAGTTTGCTTGAAACTGTACGAGTTTTATATAAATTGGTTTATTGGTAGTGACACAGAGTCAATTCATATTTTCAATGACAAAGTAAGGTGGAGTAGCGTTATAACTATAAAATATCTGCCGAGTTGTGGTTCTGGAAATTTAGCGACATCGTCTCAAACCTCTCATACAAAGGCCTTAAACATGTGTTTTTGGATCGAGTGGGCAGATATAGGAAGTGCATTACAACTGGGGTTGAATTCTGGAAATTTACCGACATCGTCTCAAACCTCTCATACAAAGGCCTTAAACATGTGTTTTTGGATCGAGTGGGCAGATATAGGAAGTGCATTACAACTGGGGTTGAATTCTGGAAATTTACCGACATCGTCTCAAACCTCTCATACAAAGGCCTTAAACATGTGTTTTTGGATCGAGTGGGCAGATATAGGAAGTGCATTACAACTGGGGTTGAATATTTTGAATGAGAATGAATATTAGCAGAAAAACTAATTAAACATGATTAAACTACAGTCTGTTGACAGATGACACTAGGCTACTTGGTGTTAGAAAATTCCAAAACTTCAGCTGAGCACAATCTTTTATAAAAAACGCTGCTCCGCCTAATTCAATCATTGAAAATATGTATGGACTCTGTGTCACTACCAATAAACCAATTTAAATGGAACTCAGACAGTCTCAAGCAAACTTTCTACACTGTCTGAAAAGTACTTTTCAAAGTCAAACTTTATGTTTAGATGATTGGTTCTTGGTCAATCACTTCATTTAGCCTACATAAGATGCTTTCCATTAAATCAATAGTGAAAATAGCACTCTTAATTACACGTAGTTGCTCCTGTGGAGACATATTGGGTAACATTTAAGGAAAATTATGTTTGAATGATTGGTTTTTGGTCAATAACTTCATTCACCCTGCATAAGATGCTCTCCATTAAATCAATTGTGAAAATAGCACTCTTAATTACACGTAATTGCTCCTGTGGAGACATATTGGGTAACATTAAAGGATTGTCCCCAACGGTGACTGTTCCCTTCTCAGCTATGGCTTGCCAATCCTGCAATAATTCTCCATTTTTTGCACGATCTTCTTCGAGCTTAAAATGTGCCCTTGATATTTCTAAGGCACTTCGAAGTGTCTTAGAAAAAGTATCTTGGATGTGCGGCACCATATCCCAGACTCCTGTGGTGTTTTTTGTTTTGGGATCTCGGATGATTAAATATCGAAGGAGGTTCAAAGCTCCCATGATTCTATCACTCTGATCAAGGAGATCTGTGGGTACTCCCTCCTTTAGCTCAAACACAAACTTCAAAATCACTGCGAGTTTGGGGCCACAGAAAAACTCACTTTGTACTGGAAGTTTCAACGAGGCATTTATTTGATCCTTTAGTAAAGTAGTCATGTATCCGAGAAGTCCTACGTGTGACGTTTTCTTCAGCGAGTAGAGGATGAACTGATAACGACCTTGCCAGTTAAGTTTCTGGAGAAATAATGGCAACAGTGATACTGCTTTTTGCCTTATCTCCTTGCTTGGGCAGTGGATAATTATAGTAGATAAATCAGCGAAAAATCCTCGGAAACTTTCCTTTTGGATTAATCCAGAAAGAGATGTATCATCAATTCGTAACAATAGGTGTTTAACGAGAGCAACAGCCTTGGCAATGATCGTGGTTTCTTTACGCTTTAGCAATTCTGAGACATACTTCAAGTTAAATTCAAATAAGAACTCTGGGCGGAATATAGATGGCATGTTTGTATAATGCAAACATTGTCCATGTACGATATATTGAAAACATGCTAGCCCAATAGAAGGAACTTGCTCCTCGAGGTCTAATAGTTCATCATCCATTTCATCGCAATCTTCCATATTAGGAAATGGTTTATCCTTTCGTGCTGTTTCAATTTCGTGTCTCCGTACGCTGACTTGTGTATTATGATCCTCGAATTTACGTACTAGTTTGTGGAAGTCACCTTGAATTGTGGTTAGGATACGCATTATTTCATTGACGCAATCCCGAGCCTGAGATTTAACTTCAGAATCTGTCAAATCTAGAAACACAATTGGGTGCGCCAGTATTTTGAATAGGAACAGAGTTAGAGAGTTGCAGGTGTGAATCACTTTGGCCTCATTTTCAAGTCTTTCTTTCGACGTCATTTCAGAGATTTCCTCAACGAACGGTTTCAGAAAGTTCAACACTTCATCAAGGATCTCACAGATCATTATTACATTTGGGTCTAAAATATTCAATGCCTTTTCATCTCCTTCGAGGACATAATCTTCTGGAATGTCCAATTGTTTTATATGACCATATATGGTCTCAAGGGTGATGTCCAAAGAATGTTGACGTTTGGCAGGCAGCCTCAAAAGTGTGATTTGTATCGGGTATAATAACGCTTTGAAATTCTTTGTGAAGGTTAACATATCTGCTTGCTCGAGAAGCGCTAATAACATCTCCTTTGGATTACACACATTGGCGCAACGAATGATCGCATCTTCATAGATTTCGAAGATTTCTTGGTTTTCAGCAGCGTCATTCAACTTCTGACATAGTTCTGGTATGAGATCCCATGTTACTGAAGTGACAAATTTAGCATTTGTTTCGTCGAAGAGTTCTTTCTTCAGATCTATGCCGTTTCCATCCTCTAAAAGTTGTTTAATTTTGGCGAAAAACTGTTCATTTGTTGTTGCCATAGTGATTGGTATTGTGATGTCACAGGTACAGGTAGAGATGGAGTAATGATGTTAACAGAACCGCACGTCAAGTCATTGAGCTGCAGAATAAAAACAAAATAGTTTTAGAATTGTGTTTAACAATTTTTGAAAATATTGTAAAAAACGATTTAAGTGAATTTCGATTGTCTTTCATAATACTGCCAAAGTTCAAATGATCTTGTTCATATTCTTTAACTCAATGACTGACATACTTTTAATTGAAGTGGATGTGCATCAATGACTTCATCTTAGTATGCAAGGAGAGGGTACCCAAAGGGGGTCGACACGATGACATTTTGACGTAATAAAAAATAAATAAAACTGAAGACACAATGTTCCTGGAGACCTGGTATAGACAATTTACGTGTAGCATAGCTACAAGTATGTTTATGTATTTCATCAATAAAGGTTATCTTTCATCTAATTAATCAAGGAATGCAATGAACGAAACTAAAAAGCAATTACCCAAATGCGAGTAGGTAGTTACCAGTTTCACCACCAGGTGGCTGATTCGGGTCAATTAACATGGCAGGTATATAAGAAAGTTCCCTTAAACCTGAATATTATCAATTTAAGTAGCTCAATTTTCATATAACCCTTATGTGTCTGATACTTATACTAATGAAAATATGTCCAGTAAAGCAAAATATTATCTGTCCACTAAAAGAAGATATTTCATTTTTTGTGATTTTATAGCATGGGGTCTATGGGGAATCTCCCCGAGCTAGAAGTCACATTTTCCAAAGCCCATGCATTTTCCAAGAAAATTAATTTTTTAAAGTTGATAAACACTTTTTAAAACCACATTTCTAGATGTAATTTTACATGTAGATTTCAAATATGATATTACTTTGACTGAATTTTGAATTTTAAATGACGTAAATCAAGATTATTTCTACTCGCATCTGGGTTATTGAATAGTATTCTCAAAATTCATTTCGTTCATTGCGTAACTTCACTACCTCTCCAACATTACTACACATTTTCAAGATGGCAGTGTCAAAAAAACGCTTCAAATAATATTTTGTTAATTTCTGGCGAGTTAACCAATATCATGTAAGAAATTCAATGTTAACGATTAAAACATCACATTGACATGTGATATTTGTTTATTAGACGTTGAAAATTACAAATATGGGGGTTGACGTCATTTCAAAACGAACTGCATAGCAACAGTGTATTAAACAATTTCTGATCGGAAGTCCTTGCAAAATCCTAAGTATTCTCTTATTTTTAACAGTTTGTTACGAATTACTAGATCTAAATTATAAATAAACATTTTAATCTAGAAGAAAAAATTTTATATAAATAAAGTGAATAAAATCAGTAGCAAACGCGAAGACATATATTATTTTGAAGTAGATCAAAATTTTTAAAGCAGTAAATTTCGCGGGAATTTAAAGAATTGAATGAGGTAAGTAAAGGACTAGGAGGTACGGATTGCACTGAACGAAAGGCTCGGAAATTGATTGAATAATTTTTTATTTTTTTCACATGAAATTCTGTATAAATTTTATAATTTGAACAGCTTTTTGAATGTGATAACATCTGAAACTTACAACATAGTAAGAGTATATACTCTTCCTTCTATATCTACTGACATTACATTATTTTAATAATTCGAACTTACCAAATTTCGATGATATTTGCAAACTTTGGAACAGACATTTGAAAAGTGACATCTTGGAAGTGAATTTGACCTACTTTTTATTTATCCTCAATTAACAATAATCGTTCCTCAACACGGCTGTTAAATTGTGGAATGAATAATTGTCATTTAAAACAAATCTAGTTTATTTCTTGTGTGTTAATTGATTTCTTAATCAGAATAATTACGGACTGAATATGAGCCCCTAAATATGACGTCATATGTTCAAATTGAAAATAGGTCAATAAATTGCTCTATTTCCGCATTGGAAAACAGTAGATTTTACAACAATTTATCAGCAAATACATATGTAAATAAGACAAGGGAATTAATAAATTGATTATCGAAAGAACGAGTACCAATCTACGCCAATATGGCCAACCAGGGAAGCAATATACCTCCGGATATGTTGGGTAAGTTTTTCTTATTTTTTCCAAAGTTTTTCGTGATTTTCGTTCTATGAGTCATTCATTTTGAAAAATGAAATAGCCATATATGGTTATAGTACCTTTTGATGTTATTTTCAAGCATAGTCGTAGTTATTCTCAGGAACAGTGGAAGGCATTTGATTACCATTACATTCCTCTAGAACGTGCCAATATACACTGTACCATAGCCATTTACTTAGGGCAAAAGGGTATAACATCGACGTGTGGGTTAATGTCGACATAATTGACGGGGTAACTTCAACACTTACTTATTAGTAGTAGAATTTCCGTTTCCACACTTACTTATTAGAAGTCGAATTTCCGTTTTCCGCCATGTTTGATTTCTGGAAAAATTAATATCTCGCGAGATCTCTATCTTTGCAAGAAAAAAAAAAATTGCTTCCTCGATCAGAAATTACAGCAAATAAAAAACAGGGTGTCAAAGTTACCCTACATGTAGAAGTTATCCCAAAATAATGTCGACGTTACACCCCTTCGCCCTAGAGTTGAGTGTCCATGATGGTACCAATTCCGAAAATTTAGTGAAATTTTTATTATAGTCTAAACATTTACAAAAAGGAATCGGTTTTTCAAAATAAATAGAGTGTTCCTTTTGAAACGTACTTGCCTTTAGATGCCTAAGACTATTATTTCAAGGATAGTATGCACAATAAAGCAAACATTTTGCTAATATAGGCAAAAAATCTCTAAAATATTGTTGTGAGTTTATCTGTGAAATATTCATTCTCCCCGCCATCTGCTTTTCGGAACTTTTTTTGTTACATGCAACTTGTGTAAAACACAAATTACCATGGAACGTAAAAAAAGAGAAAAAATATTTGGCACAGTCGGCACACGTGTGCATGCGGGATTGTGTGCATGCAGGATTTAAACCAATCAGATTATTTGATATAATTCGCTAAAGCAATTTATTCACTCCTGAGCACTTATCATTGAAAAATTGAACTACAATTGACGGAGAATGTCCCTACAGGTACCTCAAGTTATCGCAATTTTGAACTAAAACTCATATACACCATATTGGGTGGCTGGTGTACAGTGATTGGCGCATGTGTTTGGCAGTCAGCATCTGTAATAAATGGCAGGTGGTGAAATTTTTCATGTTAAAAGGCAATATTACAGTTAACAGTCTACTCCCAAAATTTTCCTACATGTATATTAATAAACATCATATGGTCAGTTTCATCAAAGGTTTTATGTAAAATATTTTACGACTCATGAAAACAGTTAACAGCCACTTTTTATGCTCCAAAAATAGTACTATGTTGCAAAGACAAAACACTCCGCTGCGATGTCTCTTGATTAGGTATTTCACAATGGAATTTTTGTTGATCGCAAACTAACAGGCAAAGAATTGGTAGTAAATTGTAAATTGTAAATGGATCTCACTTTTAAATTAAATAAATACAATTATTAAATAAATAAGGGTAATTATATATTTAAAAATATAAGGTAGATTTAGTTTTGATATCTTTTGAAAACTTTGAAAATATATGTGTACAAAATACAATATACAGTATAAAAGTAAGCAAATGTCTCTCTGTTTATTCTAAAATATCAGGTCTTTATTGATGCCAAAATTTATGTGCTATCATAGAATACATATGACCTCCAAATATAAATGTTATAATTTTAGAAGTTCTTTGCAATAAAGAAATATATCGATTTTCTACATGTACTTATGTGATTTAAAATGCTTAAAAACAGTCGATAATCGATTAAACAAGAATAAGTTGAACAGATACTTTTACTGAACTCTAAATTATATAAATAAAGCAGGAAAATCAGGCATTTCATTCAAATGTTAGAGAGAAAAGAGTGAAATAAGCAAGGAGTAATCATTCCAGGGATGACAATCTGACAATATTTATAGTAGCACTTTATAATTACCTGGAGGGGTTATCTTATCTGTTTGTTAACCATTCAAAGTTACCCTTTCTCAGCATTTTGATACTCTGACCATCTTTGCCCTCTTTGAAAGGAACAGAAAGGTAATTATTTGATCTCGCCCAATCAGAAACAAGTGATGAAAATTCATCTAACCTAAGAATTGCAGTAATGTGGTTTTAACCATTTTTAAGTAGCTAGTATTTGGTTTTGATATTCAAAGGCCAATCATCTTTTTTGTTGATCTTATTTGCATCAAAACAGCATTTGTTTTGCCCTTTTCAGAGGTTAGTTATTCCAACTAGCCCTTTTGGCCTCAGGGTTTATGTATTGTATACAATGTATTGTGAATTTTAACTATATTTTATATTGCTCTTTATTAAGACTGTTTACAATTTTGCAATCTGTTTTTCAATTTAGCTCATTGCAAAACAGGAATTTGTTATTGGTCTTTTTCTGTTTGGAATTTTGGTAATGTCCACAAATATTTGTTCCTCTTTTCTTTTAACTTTCTGAATGGTGCAAGAAGTAAAAAATTGTCATTTTCCACAAGGGATCTCCTGTAAATGAAATATAACTGGGGTAATGTTTTATTTAGTAGAAAACAATCAAAAATAGAGAGATCCTCGAAGTGAATAAAGAGCTAAGTCACCCTATGCAGACAGAGCCTGTGGGAAATATTGGGTGCGGAGCAAATGAGCGGAGGGTGCGGAGCTAACGGTCATTTTTGAATTTAAATTTGGGATATTTCTGAAACTAAGCCGTTTTGGGACTTCAAATATACCAAGATATGTGTATTTGACACCAAATATCAATACAATTGTGAAAATAGTAGCGCAATTCATTCTATAGCGACGCAGTGTGCCTTAAACCTTTCCCAGACCTATATATTTTGAAATTATCCTGTTAATACTGAGTCCCCAGCATTCATAAAAAATGGTGTTCAAGGTACACTATCTATACAAATTATTTTTGCATCTTGGAAGCCAGGCAGTATCTGTGTGATTTTATAAAAATTCGGAAATGTTCTTCAGATATGAGCCCCCTCTAAATATTGGGTGCGGAGCTATGTTTATGGAGCTATAAACGTAGCTCCGCACCCAATATTTAGAGGGGGCTCATATCTGAAGAACATTTCCGAATTTTTATAAAATCACACAGATACTGCATGGCTTCCAAGATGCAAAAATAATTTGCATGGGTAGTGTATCTTGAACACCATTTTTTATGAATGCTGGGGACGCAGTATTAAAAGGATAGTCTCAAAATATATAGGTCTGGGAAATATTTAAGGCATACTGCGTCGCTATAAAATGAATTGCGCTACTATTTTCACAATTTTATTGATATTTGGTGTCAAATACACATATCTTGGTATATTTGAAGTCCCAAAACGGCTTAGTTTCAGAAATATCCCAATTTTAAATTCAAAAATGACCGTTAGCTCCGCACCCTCCGCTCATTTGCGCCGCACCCAATATTTCCCACAGGCTCTGTCTGCATAGGGTGTAAGTTAGACATCTAGGCCCTGAATTAAAATTTTCATCAGATCAAGATAACTAATTTACATTTACACATACAGCAAAAAATGTTATTACTATACTATCAATAAACAAGATGTTAAAAGTGTAATTTTATTTACAGGTTATCATATCACTAATTATACTTCTATAATCAGGAACTGATTGCCTTTGCATAAAATTTCATTTTATCATGTTAATTCCACTTATTTCAAACTTATATTTGAATGAATAAACAATTTTCTTGCATTTTTACAACAATTTGTTGTTCCTTTATTCTTTATGTCATTTTTGCTATTATTTACATTCGAAATTATACCATAAATGACTTTATATTCAAGGGAAAATGACCAACAGATACATTGCAAAATAATGATTAAAGTTGAACATATAGAGGTGGTGTTTTCCCAAAATACAGGTACATATATATAACTTTTATTGACATATAGTATCATAACATGATTACATTAGTCAGAACTATGGTAGACTACATATCTAAACTACAAAACACCAACTAAACTAAAATACAAAAAAATATATAAAAATATATAAGGTAACAATAATAGTGTGGTGCACACACAATGCATTATGACCATGCTAAATTCTTAAATGAATGGTAAATGAATTTGCCAATATGTCTTTGCAAGGTTACATTTTTACTAGAAATAAGATTGACAAATAAGTTTTCACTTTGTAAATCCAAGTTAGGTAAAATTTCACGGGCTTTTGTATATAATATTTGCCTATTCTCATCATTTTTTGTACAAGCTAAAAAGAAATGACATTCATCCTCTACATCTTTACAAATATTACATACTCTTTCCTCTAAAGGTTTTGGTTTTGGCTTTGTATGTCTTCCAGTCTCAATTGCTAACTGATGAGAACTCATTCTAAATCTACTTGTAGCCAATCTATACTTTTTATTATAAATAATATACAATATGTTCATATATGCCGAAGTGTAGAGGAATGCTCATTTCCTGGTTGGGAATTGAATATGGGTTTTATACCCTGGTCAGTATCATATTTCAACCTGTCTCTCAAGAAATATAAAATTAAAACCCATATTGAATCCCTCCCAGTGAATAACCTCTATATCTTCAGCAAGAGCATTTCCTTGAATCATTGTTGCTATTTCCATCATTGTTTATAGAATCTTTTAGAGTTACAGTTAAATTCTTCACATATTCTTGTTTTTTGTTAAACTTTGTCACCAAATTTGCAGTTAGTTGGTTCAACAAATCATCTACTCCAGCACCTGAAAATAGAAAAAATATCTACTTCAACAAGTGGGTTGAAGTAGCGGGCGGGGGGGGGGGAGCTTGAAAACAAGACTCACAATTATCAATTTTTGGGTACTTGGGTTAATCAAAGCCTATCTTCCTGTTTCAAAAATTACCAAAGGGATACAGAAAAACTGTTTATCTCAACACCTGTCTTATATTAGGGAGTTTAAGCTTGCAATGTTTTTCACCACTTAAACGTGAATGGAAAATATTTAAGCAATGCATTTGTATGGCAATTTGTATTGGCGATTGCGGGGTGATTGGTCATATGTATAGGTTGGCATTTCGATTTTATCTGCAAGGTTAAACTCCCTAATAACACCTTTCACCCGGTTCGCACTACCCTTTGCATTTGTTAGACTTTGCTTCTTAAAATAGAGCTTCGTCTTCAGGTTCTGCACAAAGGGTAGGCATGGACCTGTCATTAATGTCAAAGTGGGGAGGAGCCAAACAAACCTGTACAAGCTGAAACCTTGCACCCCTGACTGTCTTCAACAGTAGACTTCAAGTCAATTTTGTTGCCAACAAGCACTTGAATAGCTGAAATACAGGAATGTTTTATTATAAACTAGATTGCTATAAAGTAAACAATAAAATTTATAAAATAAACTTATCTACATTTTTCTACTTGTAAAATAACATGTGTTAGAGATGATGTCAAGTTAACAGGCAGAATATTGAAGTTAGTTTCATTAGGGGAGGAGGTAAATAATGTTAATTTATTTTTTAATATTCAAGTGAAAGACAAATCAACATTTGAAGATTTCATTAGATGTGGGGGAGGGGGAGTCAAACCACATAAAGACCACTACTTTTGGTAATTGGATACCACCCCTTAAGAGCTACAGCTTTTTAACTAGTTCTATTATATTACATAACAATCATTTTAATTACAACATTATTAACAAGAATGTATTCCATTTATAGAAAATGAATTAAAAATAGAAAAATAGATTACTGAACCTTGGGGACAATATCTAGTGACATCTTCCTGCCAATTGGAGATGTGACGTAGCGTTGATTGTCTCGTGACATCATAGATTAGGATTGCAGCATGTGCATCGCGGTAATAACTTCGTGTTAGCGATTGGAATCTCTCTACTCCTGCAGTGTCCCAGATAGATAACTGTAATAAAAAGGCATCCTTCGAACGCAGGGTTCCAGAATCATGGAACTTTGTGTATGATTCTGGAACCCTGCGTACGGAGGATGTAAAAAGGGTCCATCATTAAAAGCATACATTTAGAAACTGATGCCATTGTGTTATACACCATTTGAAAGATCATCTAAAGTCATAAACCAATTACAGGGTGGCCAGTATATAAATGACCCGACTTTAGGGTGTACTACTGTAAAACCTGTATCCTTACACCTCTCAATCCCAATTTTTGTCTCATTAATTTACAGATAATTAAGAAATCTTGTGTATAAAACTAGCTAATCTAAACACTTTTGGTCAGTTTTTTAAAGTTACACCCACTGTATCTATGGAAGAACGTAGTCTTCAAGACTGTGGGCCCCCCTTATCTACTTCTCCAGCACAACACAACCCATGGTGTATGGTAGATGGGGGGGGGGGTATGTCCAGGGTCTTGAAGGAAGAGTAGAAGGAATGAGGTTTATCCAAAGTAACTTACTGTTATTCTTTGGTTGTTATGATGAATAACTTTACAACAATTGTCAGTTGTCATGGTTATTTGAGTTTTTTCCACAAATTTATTGTCCTTTATCCTATTCAGCAAACTGGTTTTCCCAACTCCTACCTCTCCCAGTAAAATAACTTTGAAAACTTTTTGCTCCTTTCCCTCCAGGGATAAAGATTCAGGTGTGCCATTCTCCATATTTGTTTACGCAAATGGTTTTATTTAACTAGAGTGTCTTAAATGTAATGTCTTGTCGCTGCTAAATCCTTCATTACAAAAGGGGGAATTACCCAGAATTCAAAGGTGAACCAATTTCCAAGTAAAGATGAACCTCCAGATCCATCTTTGAATTCTGGTTTATTATGTCACCACCAAAAAGTGGTCAAAAAAGTTCAAAAATGTTTTTTTTTAAACTTGCCTCAAATCAACCATTTTTTCAAAATCATTTACAAGTTCTAAGAAGTTCAAATGTGCCTTAAGATTGAACTCATAACATTCCTCTCTTCGTTATTACCACAAAAATCCTGATGTATATATACAGTGATGTAGATACTGATGTTCATTTATTCTCCTGGCATTATATTAGAATCCTTTTCTATATTAATATCTTTGAGTACTGAACTTGTATGTCAATTCATGTTCTTCTTCTTATTATCAGAGTTCAAATAAAATTTGACAATCTTAAAAACAATTCTCTCAAAAACCATCTTGAAGTCCTTGTCCAAACATTTTAATGTCTGTTGACTTTTATTGTATCTTCTCGACTTTGCGTTAGTAATACATAATGTATAGTATGTTAATAACCACTGCCCACAGCCTCTAATTCTTACGATTGGTTGTCAATTTTTAAAGCTTATGATTTTAACTCGTTGATGTCTGGCCCAGATTTACTGCCCTTATATATATGGCCTGTCATGCTCAGTTACCTGCATTTTGGAAAGTATTTCCATTGAAACAATAAAGATGATTTTGCAAGTTCTCTCAAACGTAGACTGCTAAGTGTTAACACCAAAAAACTGTTAGTTTTTCATCGCTTGTTTAAACTTTCCTTAACAGCAAGAAAGGAACTGTATTTACAAAGCACCTCACTAATGTTGACAGAAGAATAATGTTTGATTTGTATTTCTGAATATTAGGCATGAATAAGTTGCACAGTAGATTTAAAGTGCTTATCCATTTTTAAAGGGCTGACACCATCGCTTGTTATGGCCAAGCAATAGAATGCCTAAATTGTCAAGTATGTGTACCCCAATATCTGAGTACCGTATGTCTTCAGATGATATATTTCTCAGTATTTGAGATATTGACTGTCAAATATGATATGGGAGGTAGACAAGGATTGGCTCCCTGGGTTCCAACTGGATATTCTGCCATATATGGAATCAAGTCATGGTTACAATATTCAAAATTACACAGTCACCATCTTTTGGACTCATGCGGCACTAACTTCGACCTTTGATTTGAATTTTTGACCTACCAGATGTTTGAAAATCAATCAGTCTCATACTGCACCGTTTTTCTTCAAACTTGTTTCATTCAGAGCATAACAAAAATGCCTTTCCATTGGTACATTATTCTGTTAAACATTTCTGTGGCATTTGGGTCCCCAGCTGTGAGATTATAGGGCTTCTCACAATGGGTACTTGATATAGAGGTTTAATTGTCCTTATTATTTAAATTAAGCCTTACTATGAGTGAACACTTAAGGACCCCCATATAATGCAATCCTGACCAATATATTTTATTCACTTTCAGAGAGTATGCGGGATGTTTTTGACAAACATACAAAGGTTACATATCGACGGCTGGTTTTTATGGTGATCAAACAAGAAAAAGAAGATCAAAAAATTCTAGTGAGTATTCTAGTGACATAAGCTGAACCAATAGATGGCTCTAGGGGTTTTGGTTAGGCTAGAATACCATTTCATAATATGGAAAAAAACTGACATAATGTTGCATAATTTTTTAATTTATCCAATTTATATTCATTTGGATTTACATATTGGGATGGCAACTGATCCTTACTCCATCATAATCATAAAATAAAAAGTATAAATAAAATATTTTCTTGGCAAGCTTTACTATAATTCTTATAATTTAACTGGGGCTGCTCAATTTCATCTTCATCAAAACAGAAATGATTTTAAAGTACAAAATATAACCTCTAAGATTTCAGGCACATAGTTCTTACACTTTCTAACATGTACAATTTTTCACTAAACCAGGAAGTCAAAATTCAATGTATAAAAATTGTGCTTCTTTCAAAAATTAACCTGAACGCTTATTTTTGACCTTTCAAACATTCATTTAAAATTATACACAAAGATTGATAACCTTTTCAAAAAGTATTTTTCATTTCATTAAAGGAGTGTTTTGATACCGTATTATTATATTCATTCAAAAAATAAAAATAAAAATGCAACTCTCCTAGATCAGTATTTTAATCTCTTCAAACTCTAAAAAAATAAAAGCCATTACTATGCCACACTATTGGGTTATTTAGATATTAACATCTAAACCATATATAGGATTATTTTTATTTGTCTTTTTAAGTAGGTACCTGACTTTAGACCTCATGGTGAAAAGTTTAACATTTCAAGCATTCTGAATTCTATTGTATTTTAGAAAATGATTTATTTTGAGTGTGATTCATATGTCAAAAATATATTAGAATTTAAATGAAGTCATATTTCGTGCTTACAGAACATGATCATATGATTATCTCTTCTCACCAGGATATATTTAGGGTGTGGTGCTAACATCTTCAGAATAACCGTTCAATTTTGATAAATCATATTTATGTTATATTTTACCCTTTTTACATGCTATTATTGTATATTCAGTCAAGTTTAGACTGTGGAAACAGTCATGAATTGCCAATAGGGTGTGGAGGGAGCTAATTAGAGTGTGGTGCTGGGCCACAGTCTAAAAGCCTGGTGAGAGCCCTGTTAATTCACACTTAACTAGCGTGTCAGATATCAGCCAATCCAAACAAGCTATTTTATGCAACTGCAGTGCATTATATTACCAATCACCACATCCAAGGTCACTTGTTGAACTGTTGTCAAGGTGACAACTTGACTCTACAGATTGAAATTGACACTCTACCAACTTCACCCTTGCTAAAAGTTTCATTGAAAATATGTTCTTTTACTGAATTCCTATATTTAAGGTGATTTTGTAGAAAAAATATTAAAATGACACCTTTTAAGTGATGTCGTAGGAAATATTAAAATGATACCTTTGAGAAAGCAAAAGCATATTTGTCCACAATGCACCGAGTCCAGGACTTCAATCCTTAAATAAAGCATTTAAAATAATGTATATATTCCGCTACACTTCTTTTGTATCATGATGTACAATTATCACATACCAATTATTATTCATTGTGAGACTTCATTTTAAAACTTGTTTACGTTTGATTGTCTCCATTGATTGTTGTGATACATATTTGATTGTGATACATATTGATAGCGATTCATATTTGATTGTGATACATATTGATAGCGATTCATGTTTGATTGTGATACATATTGATAGTGATTCATATTTAATTGTGATACATATTGATTGTGATTCTATTTGATTGATTGTGATTCATATTTGATTGTGATATATATTGGTAGTGATTCATATTTGATTGTGATATATATTGGTAGTGATTCATATTTGATATTGATACATATCATACTATTTGATTGTAATATCTATTTGATTGTTATTCATATTTTCTTGTGATATATTATTGATTGTGATATATTTTCAGGCCTTTACTCCACAGCGAATGCTTATCCTCAGTGCAAAAGTCCCAACAAAGGTAAGACTTACATTTGAATTAAAACAGTAGTTTTTATCAAGTAAACATCCATTACAAATTAATAATAAATTTAAAAAAGTTAGGTGACAATAAGGTTTGATTTCCTTCTTTGACCTTTCTAAAAGGAGGAAGAGTATACTAGCTTTTCCCTTTTATGGTAGCTGATGTACAATGTCAGTTATAAAAAGAAGCCTATAACAGGTCTAACTACACTTGTAAAAACAGTGTAGAAAATCCAATTTTTAGCCAAATTTTTCTTTCATCTAAACTTACCTTATACACTGTGTCTATATTATCTATATCATCATCTATATTAATGTTTCACTGTTATTCTGTGTTTCATTTCCCCATGTTTAATGTTTTGAAATATTCTTTCAATTTTAGATTGAGCAGAGTTTCCATTTCTTGGACATACAGGGTATTGAGAGCAAAAAACAGAACCAAGTGAGTGTTGTGTAACAACTATTACTATTCCCTATTTAACAGTGTAAAGATATGAAATATCAGTTATTTAGAATAAACATTTCTGTGTGCCTTCAGCCATCATTTCCATATTGTAGTTTGCCATTAAGAGGCGGAAAACTTAAACTGTGAAAATCACAAAGTAATTAGTTTGTATTTGTGCAATTATAAATAACATTGTAAATTTTGTTTGAAATTGTACATTTTCAGTTAATAATAACAGTGAGTAGCAAAAGCTCACAAGACGATGATGGAAAATCATACAAATTCCGAACTCTGGAATCGGAGTCAGAGGAAACTGATCACATGATCACCCAGATTGGGACGGGTATAAAATCAATATTTCCCATGGTGCCTTTAGAGTAAGTGCAATGATTTTTATTTTTGCCTTACTGGTCCAACAGTTTTTTCATTGATCTCCCCATTATTGACATGGGCAATGTAAGACTTGGGAATTTCAAAAATAGGCACTCGCCTACGTGGGATTTTCAAAATAGGCCTGTTCCTACTTGAGATCTCAAAAATAAATCTGCACATGAAAATGACGAAAATTATGAGAAATAGGCATTTTTATTCAATAATTGTGAAAATGAGAATTTCAGAAAACAATTTTGAAGAAAGCATTTCTTTTTCTTAAATGCAAAAGAAGTACATTTTTGACCATTGATCCATACAACTCACATTGATCAAAAACAATAAATACAATAAACACATATACATTAAACAATCATTCAATATCAATCAAAAAATAAATTATTATTTTAATTTAGGAAAATTATACGCAAAATAGATGTCACTCCTAGTGATAGAATCCGACCAATGAATGACATGATGAAAGATTTGAGCAAGAAGGATCCAGGGCCGTGCGGAGGTTATTCTACGATATATCGAAGCATGTGCGACTACCATAATTTGCCATTTAGGGACGATGTTGCTTGGGTATGTTATATTGCCATTTGTTTGTAAATTTTTATTTAGATTTTTATTCAGATTTATTCAGATTTTTTGTTTCAAAAAAGTATGGCACACTTTCTAAGCTTGAATGTTTGTGATGAAAATAGTTTACTGTTTTTATTGAAAGAACCTATCTCAATGAAACGATATCCCAATAATTTAAACATCAAAATAAATATCGAGTATTTATTCCTTTCAAATTATGTAAGATATGGATTTCAAAATTCATCATATATATGTTTTGACATCAAACAATGACATCAAAATTGTATTTTGGATCAATCAG